TTTTTAGGCAGCTAGGAAGGCACTGAGAAAGAGAGAAACTGAAGCATCTTGAAATGCCTTTTCTGGTGAATCCCGTTTAAAAAATACTTTATGGCCACAGTGGGAAAAACCACCAGTCCCGGAAGAGAACAGGTCATTCACCTGTTTTCAAGAAGAGGGTAGAAATATCTAGTAGTCTAGCTATTATCTACCCAGGTAATTATTGGGTGGATTCAGACTTCTATTATAGGACTGTTCACCAGAAGTGTGTTGCCTGCCTTTCTTTTGGCTTCGAATGTCAAATCAGTATAAAAATCAGGCAGTGCTCATCGGGGTCTAAACTAGGAATATCCTTCTTCCTTAAAACGTTTGCATATCCAGCAGGTCTGAGGTGGAGGATTAAAAGCTAACCCCCTCTACTGTCAAATTGTCCATTGTCAAAGAATTTCATTTTTTTTTAATAATGCCATGCTCTTAGAGCAAGAATTCTTCTTTCAATTGCTTCGTTTGATTGTTGTGAGCCGCAGAGTGCTGTGGAGAGTTGGATGGCATTCGGATTTAATAGACGGTGGTGATGGGCATTTTTAGGACAATAGCAAAGTGTGAGACCTTCCATATAGAGACTCTTGGCAAAAAAACAATGGAGCAGCCGTGAACTTTCTCAGATTCCACCTCAATTAGCTCCATTTCATCATGTACTTTCAGAGCATCATGTATTTCTATTATTGATTTCTCAGTCCATGGGTGTTTCAGCCCTTTTGTCTCTACTCTTACTTTTATTTTGATATTTATGCCTTCAAGCCCAGAGGTCAAGTAAGTATTATCAAGTCAAGCCATTTTCCTTTAATTCTGATTTACAAGTGCTGTCCTTCCCCCCCCCCCCCCCCCCTCCACAGGAGCTGGTAGACTAATATCACTGTGTCATTGTTGTAGAGTTAGATTTAGCACGGAGGCTTTAAAAAGGCAACGGGGGAGGGAAGGGTTCAAATTAGAACAGTATCACAAAGAACTAAATGTCCAGACTGGAATAAAAGACTTCATGATTGCTGCTTTTTTTAAAAAAAAGGACTTTTAAAAAGCTTGCACAGTAAGGACTAATAACATGAGACGTATCGCACTGAGCTTTGTGCTAAAAGGCCCACTGTTGATCCTTCCCATTTGCTAAATATCTGCTGTCCAATCAGCCCTTGTGGTGCTAGCAGCAATACCTAAGATTAGGATTCCAGCCCCTGTAACGGAGCTCCCTAGTCCTGCATTGCCTAGGGAGCCTGATGCTTCTCTCTCTCTCTCTCTCTCTCTCTCTCTCTCTCTCTCTCTCTCTCTCTCACACACACACATTGGCAGACATCAGAACTTCCTCTGGGGAGAGTACGCTAATAAATCCTGTGTTACGAGGAGCCCTGGGTATCACCTGTTGCTACATTGGAACAAATCATAACAAGCCTTAACAATTGGATGGCCAAGTTCTATTTTAGGAATGCAGAATAACAAGATCAGATAGCATTAGTGGGTGTGCAGAGCGGTTATGAGGTTCCAAAGACGCGTGGACAAGATCTTTCTTTTAAGGAGAGAAGTTGAGCAGATTTGGCCAGTGTAGGCTGTAAATGCAAACCTCGTCTCAGATGAAAACTCAGAAAGGGACTCCATTTCCCTAACTGTTGGAAATCGTAGTAGTCCCTCTGCCACATTCTCTTTGGGAGCTTAGGGTAGGATATTGATTCGCATAACATGTTGAACTCTTGCTAAAATTTGGGGACAAATTAACAGGGAAAACCTTCGTAGGAATGACATGCATTAAAAAAGTCAACAATAATTTTGCAAAATCTCTTTTTGGCGCAGGCTTTTGCCTCTTAACAAAGCGAAAAGAAGCTGCAAGCTGCAAGCTTCAGTTTTGTTTTTTGTTCTTTCAATTGAAATTCAAAACAGGTAGTCCTTGACTTATGACAGTTTGTTTAACAAGGGCTCAAAGCTACAATGGGCTTGGGAAAAGTGAGATATGTTCGTATCCTTAATGTTCCTATACTACCCCCCGGGGGCATGTGATCACAATTCGGTGCTTGGAAATTGGCATGCATTTATGATGGCTGTAGCATCTTGTGATCAAGTAATTATCAGTTACAATCTTCCAAGCAGACTTCCATCAACCAAAGCCAATTGGGAAAGCCAAATTTGCTTAACGACTACAGTAAAAATGGTTGCAAAATCAATCCAGTCACATGATGATTTGCTTAATGACTGCATTGCTTAGTGGCCAAAATTCCAGACCCAATTGTGGTCATAAGTCAAAAACTACAAATTCTACTTCTTGGGTGATGCATTTCTTACCCATCCAAATTCCAGGTTGTCTGTCATTTTTTATCAATTTTAATTAGCAGAGTGAGGATTATTTCCAACTAAAGATTTGCATGCCGAGCTACTAAAAAGGAGCTCCGAGAAACGGATGATAGCCTTATTTCAAAGGTGTAGTGTTAAACATCTCTTGGAATTCTCTATGTATCTCCCATCATTCTTTCCTCTGTTAAAGCAGCAGCTTTTGGTAACAGAACCTAACCAATTTTCATTTTGCCACAAGAGTTGCTGGTACAGACTTGACTTCCATCTTGGCTAATGCTACCAGTTATAATTCCTCTTTTAGAAAGGGCCGTTCTCAAAGACACTATAAAGCTCTGAGATTCTGTCTTCCCAGAACTCCAGTTTTCATGTTCCTTGTCAGAGGCTGCTGACATTTAGATGGATCTCCTTGAAAGAAACAACTACAATAAGATAGAAGTGGGATGATCAAGTAGGATAACAATATGACCAAAACTTCTTTTTTGTATGCTGTAGTTTTCCTCTGCAGTGCTGGCAAGGCAGCAACATATAGCATTTCCCCTTTTTTTGTTGATAACTGCACTGATTGTGATGCAAAGAATTGTTGTTTCTAGGATTGGGCATTTTTTTCAGGATATTGAGATTGAAAATGGGAAGAAAAGAGAGAAACATAATTTGGGGGCAGGACACATTTTCTTCGCTCCTTGGTTCACCAGCCTGAAGTTCAAGTGTTCAAAACCACGTTGCCTCATAATATTAGGGAAAGACCGTATGTGTAACTGAGTCCAAACTAAATTCTACCTTGTTTTTTTTATATATCAAGTTATTTTGAGAACTTTGAAATGTTGATGGTTCCAAGTTTGTAAAATGAAGATGGAATAAATAGCAGCAGTAGAAATTTCAAAATCAATCTTTAACAAGCTGTGGGAATCCCAGGCACTGCAGGAAAACAAGAACAATTAAGGACTTTGATCAGGTGTTAATACCTTGGCAGCCTTGTCATTTAAAGTTTGAAGTTGTTTTTAAGTAAACAGATGGCTACCTCAGTCCTTTAACTTTCGTAAGGAAATTCTTGAAATATGCTGAGGGGTTTTTTTCCCCACCTGGAACACATTGATAGAACGTTTGCCTGTTTCTTTCAGGATACTACAGTAGTCCTCGACTTACAACCACAATTGAGCCCAAAATTTCTGTTGAGACATTCGTTAAGTGAATTTTGCCCCATTTTATGACCTTTCTTGCCACAGTTGTTAAGTGAATCACTGCAGTTGATAATTTATTAACAGGGTTGATAAAGGAATCTGGCTTCCCCATTGATTTTGCTTGTCAAAAAGGTTGCAAAAGGTGATCACATGACCCTGGCACACTGCAACCGTCATGGAATTAGATCCCAGGCACCTGAATTTTGATCATATGTCCATGGGGATGCTGAAACAGTTGTAAGTGTGAAAAATAGTCATAAGTCCATTTTTTCAGTGCCGTTGTAACTTTGAATGGTCACTAAATGAACTGTTGTAAGTCAAGGACTACCTGTATTGGCTTAATGCTTTAGTTCTTATCTCCCACATTGAGAGAGAACCCACTATAAAATTCAGGAGCTGCTGGCCCTTCTGTGTTCGTTGCATTTCTTATTTCTTTGCCTTGTTCATTTTTCTTTTTTTTCCTCATCAAAACACTGGATCGTGTGCAATATTTGGCCCTCATTATTCTCTGAAATGACATTAATCAAGGAGATGGGATAGGTATATTGAGTGAATCTGCAAAGCTACAGCTGGGTTTGCATTATAATGCCTCATTGTTTTAGAAGAATGGTTTTTTTCTGGATGAACAAAGGTTTACCTTTGCACTTGCCTCTTGTGTTGGCAGAAATGTTTTTAATTTCAGGCAAAAACTTAGGAATGTTTTCTTCAGGGTATGTAGTGAGGCTCTTCATGGCATACCTTGTGGCATACCAGTGTATGACTGTTGCTTCACATAACCAGAAAATTTAAAAAATTTGAACAGTACCCCAATTTCATCAAGGAAGAACAATAAAGCAAAAGATGTAGAAATAAATGTTAGCAGCAAACCCATTAACTGTGTGAGGAGAAGAAAACTACCACTGCTCACTCGCAAGGGTCAAGGAATACAATTTACTCCAACTTTCAATATCGTGACTATTTAATAGCCGTTCTCTTTTCAGCAGAGAGGAATATCAGAGATAGAAAGGAAGGAGAACATCTTGTATCGCCCTCTAATAGCCCCATGAAGAAATAGTGCGCCCAAAATATTAGTCTTTCTTTTAACAAGGGCCCCAAACTCTTTCCATCACCATTTGTGCTTCCTTGCTTTGGTAAATAAAAGTTTAGAAATAAGATCAAGAGGGAGGTTCAAGGCCAGGGACTTGGTTTGTATTAAACCTAAAATAACAATTTGTACTGATGTTAATAAAAGCCCACCATATTTGTAAAGGTGCCTAATGGAGACCAGTCTTCTCTGGCCAACCACGTTTCTGGGACAAGAGCTCCTAGAATATCATTTTAGCTCATCTGGTAGTCAGTAGATCAGGGAAAGCTTACAAGATCCTCCCTTTTTATGGCATCTTTATGATCATTTTTCTGCCAAATCAATTCATGAGAGTTTCTAAATTAGAGCACAGATAGACCTTTTTATATCTCTCCAATATCTAATGGTAGATTTTTCTCCTTCTCCCTATCCTTGTCTTCCCTTAGAGATGCCCTGTATCCAAACACAATATGGGACCTCGCTTCAGAATGGAGGGTCCTACGAGCGCTACCCAGCAGACCTCTTGACCCCTGAGTTTGGCAAACCCACCATGGACCTGGTCAATACCGAGATCTCTGCTGCCACAACTACTCTGCCCAGCTTCAGTACCTTCATGGACAATTATACAGGCGAATTTGACGCTTTCCTCTATCAGATTCCAGCCGCGAACCCCAATACCGCATCCTTCAAGCTGGAAGATTTCCAAGTATACGGTTGTTATCCTGGTCCCTTCAGCAGCCAATTGGATGAGACCATGTCCTCAAGCGGCTCAGATTATTATGGCAGTCCGTGCTCAGTCCCTTCTCCTTCCACGCCAAGTTTCCAGACTTCCCAAGGTCCAACTTGGGAGAACTCCTTTGGAAGCTATTCCCCCACTCATACCTATGAGGGCATGAGGCCTTGGGTGGCGGCGGCATCAGCAGAACCTCCCAAAAGTAGTTCAGCTCAACCATCTTATTTTTCCTTCGGCCTTTCGGCTCACAGCCCTGGAGTCCCACCCCAGAGTCCGCTGAAGATGCAACCGACGGCCCACCAGCACTTGGTGGATGGAGAAGTCTTTTCACTCCCGCAGACCTCCTCCTCAGTCCATTTTTCTCCTTTGCCACTCAGCCAGGCCTCACCAGGCCTAGATGGCTCTGGCCTGATGGACAATTCCCTCTCTCCGACAAAGACACGCAGCCCTGGATCCAACGAAGGGCGCTGTGCTGTGTGTGGGGACAACGCTTCATGCCAACATTACGGCGTCCGGACCTGTGAGGGCTGCAAGGGCTTTTTCAAGGTAAGAGGAACGTGTTACTTCAAACTAGATTGAGGGACTTGATTCTGACACTTCTAGTTCTATTAAAACAGCTTTCTCCAGCCAGTGGTCTTCCAGTCAGCCTGAAGCAGCAACTCACCGAATTTCCTAACCAGCTTGGCTTCTTCCTAGGATAGCTGTGGAGCTGTATTCTCAACCAATTGGATGGGCATGAGGTTGGGAATTGACTGGCTGAAGACAATCCCAGCATTCTGCATGTCCCTAAGCTCCAGCAAAGAATGCAGGGATTTCAAGACTTCTTTTTCCAGGGAGGGAAAGGAAAAGCCTTTGCTCTGTGTTGACTGCCACAGGGATGACTCATTAGACCTTTCTCTGACGGCTTTCTAAATAAAGGAGGTCACTCTCTTCCCCTCATAAGGGTAGGTGGCGGGAGGGGGGGGGGAAAATTCTTTCAGTGGGAGGCTGTAGAAGAGCTCTGGCAAGCCCTAAGTCCATATCAACCCTTCTGTGTCTTTCAGAGGCTACCCTTATTTCATCTGGAAACTGTTGAGACCTAAAGCAGCCAAGAATCAGTAGCTCCTTGGAGCATAGAATTCCTTCCCAATAGGCATTGTAGATTGTAGATTAAAAATGGGGGGTGGGGAGGCTAAGCCCAAAATTAAAAAGAGCTGTAGCCCACTGGATTTGGCAGACGCCATGTTGGGGAAAGGCTACTCTGCAAAGATCCCAAGGAAAAGCGGCCAGGTCTTCAGGGAAGGGATGGAAAATGGGGGACCATTGCAGATACACAAGGAAGAATTGAAATGTCTGTTCACAGCTCTGGGGGGGGGGGGGGGGGAAACAGAAAATGAGGAACTGGTTATGAATGATAGGAATTGTAATTGGACATACCTGTAGCATGCCAGGTGGGAGGAGGCTGATCTGTTGGATGGTTTGGCATCCCAAAGATGGTCCCTGCTCTTCTGAACGCAGAGATTTTGGAAGGCCACAACAGCCGAAAGAGAGACAGGCCTGTAACCCGGGTGGAATGGAGAGGAGAACATAAGTCAAATAGGCATATCTGAAATTAGCCTAGTTAGTGTATTCAGCTTCTCTAGTCTGACCACTGTTTATTGAGTGGGCACTTAGACCGGGAAAGTCTTCAGTGCAGAGTTGACTGGGAAATCCTGGGGACTGCACATCCAACACATCTAGAGCAGGGGTCCCCAACCACTGGTCCGCGGACCGGTACCGGTCCGTGGAACAAGTCCTACCGGGCCGCTGGCTTGCTGGGCGCCGCCATCTTGTTTTGATGAAAAAGTGCTTCCGGTGAGCTTTCTACCCGGAAAAGCTCACCAGAAGCACTTTTTCATCAAAACAAGATGGCGGCGCCCAGCTGATGTCGGTACCGGGCCGCGCCATATAAAAGGTTGGCAATACCGGGCCGCGGCGTAAAAAAGGTTGGGGATCACTGATCTAGAGGACAGCAAGCGGAGGAAGGCTGTCTTGAAAAGCCTTTTTCAGGTGTTTTCTCTCTCAGCAAGGATTCAGTCAGTGCTCACAGTGCTTTGTGGGACCCCCTTCCCCCAAGTATTCATTATAAATCTTAGTCCTTCTGCAAACTTTGGGATTCCCTATCTCCACACCTTGCAGATATCTGCATCCTGATAATCTCTTTTAGCTAATGCAAAAACTAACATTCAGGGGCATGAGCTTACTTTCAGGATGTTTTCAGGTAGCCAGTAAACAAGCTAAGTTTACAGCTTTCCAGTTGTTGCTGAAGTACAAACTTCAGCAGCTGCCGCCAGCAGGACCCTCCAAACTGGAAGTTGGCAACATCCAGAAGGCTTCAAGTTAACTATTGCCAAGTCTTTTTTTCCCCCTTTTTAACAACAACATGTAAGGAAAAGCTTGAAATACGGTTTTCACTCCCACTCCCTTTTCATACTTGAAGCCCACAGCGTAGTTCTCCTGTCTAATCTCAGCCTGACGAAGAAAAGACCTTGCTCCCTTGGGATGACCCTTCTGAATATACACCAGAGTAACAGGCTATACATTCCTCTCACGTTGGGCTACTTTGAGCAACCGCTAATGTGCTCTCCTGGGTAGGCGCTTCTGGCAAGGAGGCCCCTCGACAACACACATTTCCGTCTCTTGAATTCTCCCTTGCATTGTGGTTTGGCAGCAATAGGAAATGGAGGGCGTTCCCTGCCTTTGTGGAGAATAGCGGTACTTGTAAGAGAAAGGCCTTTCTCTTTTCTTTGGGAAGGGCTCTTTGTGTGCCGGCTGAGAAGAGCGGAGCTTCAAGAGCTCCTATGGAGCTCAGCTAGGTGACTAAATCGGTACGTCTGGCCGGTGTGTGGCCATAAAAGCTAAGATTTTTGAAAAGCAGCCAGTGATTCTAAGGGTGCCTTGATACGGTACATTTAATGCCTCCTGTGATTCACTGAACATTAATTATTATTGTGTTAGAACTCAGTTAACAGGTGCTGCATTATCACCAAAACTGCTTTATCAAAATACAGGTAGCCCTCAACTTACAACAGTTTATTTAGTGACCATTCAAAGTTACAACAGCACTGGAAAAAGTGACATCATTTTTCACACTTACGGCCATTGCAGCACCCCCATTCTCACGTCGTCAAAATTCAGATGCTTGGCAACTGACTCATATTTATGACAGCTGCCGTGTCCTGGGGTCATGTGATCACCTTTTTTGACCTTCTGACAAGCGAAGCCAATGGGGAAGCCAGAGTCACTTAACATGCGTGTTGCTAACTTAACAACTGCAGTGATTCACTTAACAACAGTGGCAAGAAAGGTCGTAAAATGGGGCAAAATTCACTTGATATAAATTTTGGGCTCAGTTGTGGTTGTAAGTCAAGGAGTACCTGTACTTTAGCTTGGTTTTATATGAGTTTTAGTATTAAATGTGATTTCTTGTGTTACATGGCCTTCTTTATCTTTGCTCATCTTTTAACCACCAGATGCATTTAGCCTGCTTGGCTGGGAATCATAGGAGTGGTAGTTCAACATATCCTACAGAGAGCCATTTTAGTGTAGATCATGCTAAACTGGCTGCAAATCTCCTTTCTTGCAACCATAAATAAAGGTGTTAATGTCACTGAGATATAAAGTTCCCTGCTGCAAATAACCGGTAGCTATCCCATCCAAGATCTTGGCAGAAGGAATGGGCCTGAAATCAATTTTGAATGTAAACAGTAATATGAATAATTTCCAGATATATAGAATGGAATCTTCCTGAAATCATAGGGGAATGGGGATACTAACTGCACATGTTTTCCCCCCACAAATTTCTAAGTGAGGCAGGGATTCAATCCATGGTGAGACAAATGGAGGGGCATCCACTTGTTCCAGTCCGGATTATGTTCTAGATAGAAATGGAGGTATCTGTTTCCCAATAAACCTGAGATTAGGGTTGAAGTGAAAGAAAGCTGCTAAGGTCACAAATTTAGCTAAAGAGCTAAATTGAAATAAGAGATATCTTATTTCCCATTGAAATAAGAGATGGAAAAACAGAAATTTGAACAAAACTTTGCAAACTCCAAGAAGAAAATCATACAAATAAAATTGACATGAGGGAGATTTTGATGGGCTATGGTGGTGTAACAATCAGGTGACTCCTTGCAATGTGGGTCTATTCTAGAACCGTGATGGCGAACCTATGGCACGCATGCCAGAGGTGGCAGACAGAGCCCTCTTTGTGGACATGCGAGCCATTGCCCCAGCTCAGCTCTGCCGTGCATGCGCGCCCATGCCTCCCACCAGCCAGCTGGTCTTTGGGTCTCTGCCGTGCATGCGCAGGTGATGGGGGGCATGCACAGGGATGCATGCACATGCGTGGGAGGGAGGGGCACATGCACAGGGATGCACAGCACAGCTGGGGCACTTGGTGCCAAAAAGGTTAGCCCATCGCTGTTCTAGAAAGATGGTTAGAAAGGGGGCATTCATGGCTGTGTTTCGGAGATCCAGTAAATCATTTGCACATCTGTTTTGCAGCATGCAAATCTTAACACAGGTGATTGACTTTGCAATCAGAATAAACCCTTTTTTGATGGAATGACTTCTCTAGAACAGATAAATACACAAGGGACAAAAAAAATTGCTTCATATTTGAATATGAACCTAATTTGTAATTCCCATGTCAATACAATCCCAAATCAAGCCAAAACAAAGTTCATTCTGACTTTTCTAATTTTGCAGTTTGAACTAAAATATATACAACTCTGTAATAAGAAAATTGCACAAGTATGTTACATTAGAGAAAATTGCTTTGCTTAGAAGCAGATCAAGGGTTAGTGGGTCCCTAGGGAAAAGGAACAAATGAGAATCTCTGCCAGAAGTAAACTTCATTATTAAGTTTAATACTGGTATTACTAGTATGTAATATAACCAACATTGCATCTGTTTTACTTACAAATATTAACTTACGTGAAAAGTAAACTATCTCTTGTTTACTTTGCAATGTTTAATGTAAGATAACGACCACATTTTGTATACAAAACACAGATACATTTAAACATTTTATATATCCCAGTAATTAAGAATGAGGTCTTGTTTATTTTGTGGTATTTTCCAATATAATGTTGCATTAGCACTGTGGTGGTTCCAAATGTACAATATTGAGATTTTTCTCTTGAATATGATGACATTAACTTATTATCTCCATGCTTCTTTGGGAATAAGTCTGCCATACACAGGCTGCAAACATTCAAGTGACCAAGAGATGATGGCAGAGTGACAGGTTCTATCTCTCTGTGTTGCCATCTAGTGACTGTTAGGAAGTTGTTAAAACTGGGCCTATTGAAAAACAGGACTTTTATTTTTATTTTATTTGGTTTGTCAATTGCTTACAAGATAATAGGTATAAGTAAAAACATAGTTATGAATACATGGATACATATAAGAAAAATAAAAGAAACAATAGGACAGGGACGGTAGGCACGTCGGTGCGCTTATGCACGCCCCTTACAGACCTCTTAGGAAAGGGGTGAGGTCAATAGTAGAAAGTCTAAGGTTAAAGTTTTTGGGGTTTGGGGAAGAAACCACAGAGTCAGATAGAGTATTCCAGACAGGCACCCAATCCATTTGAAATACAATGAGAACTATTGCTAATGTTTTGGTGGTTTGGTCTGCATAGATAGAAGGATTTTTAAGAGCTTTCTCTCCTGTACCATGCACCATCTGTACAATGTGTACAGTCTCCTGACTGTTGCTCTTCATCTGTATCTTGCAGATATAATTGCAGTCTTTGTGCCCATTTTAAATTTTCTTCCATATTTAATTTAGGAAGGTTCAGAGTGTTTTTGTCTTTTCTCGTCAGTGGAAGCTTCGGCACTGGAAAACTCTCTCTGATACCTTGAGCTTGCCATCTCTGCTTGCAGCCTGTTTCTAGGCTGGGTTTCCCAGCCAACGCTAGGCCCAGACAGGTCTCTTTATTCTTTGTTACTAGGCAACAGCGGGAGCAGGTCTAGCCTCTGAGGCGTCTTGGGCATAGTTGGGCTGGCACCAGGGAGACTCGGGTCCTAACCTACCCTCAGTCATGCAAGTTCTTTGGGTAATTTGAAGTCAGTCCCTCTTTCTCAGCCCAACCAACCTCACAAGATTGTGGTTGTTGGGGGGGGGGGGGAATAGGAGGAGAGAATGCTATGCACATAACGACATTGTCTTAGTTCTCCAAGGAAAGAGGGCAGCCACCGCTCAGCCTGAAAAACAAAGAAGACATGGAAGAAAAAAATGCAAGCTCTCCAACTTCTAGGCATTTCTGCACTCCCAACACATACCTTGATAGCCCTGCCTTTGGTTAAATGTGCCTGACCAAAGAAGTGACATTTGACTTAACGTTGATGTATGTTCACAGTCCCACTATGACTGTATTACCTTTCTCTGAATATCCTGCGGCCAAGACTTATAAATAAGCTCAGAGTAAAGAAACTTGCGTGCAAGAATTCTTAGAAAAGTGTGTATACATTTCCAAGCAGATTTTTAAAAAAAAAAAAAAAAAAAAAGCCAAAACAAGGTGAAATGAACACATTTGTTAAAATTAGAAACTGGGAAAACTATAGAGGTTTAATGCCTACGGATGAATAAAGAGCTGTCTTCTGAAGAATTTGGCTTCCCTTGCATCTCTACCAATTGAATGGAAAGAGGACTTTACAGATGTAATCACTGCTTTTCCAAAATACTTGAAAGGTGTGTTATGCAGGGTTTCTGAATCATCTGTACAGTGACTTTAGGTGCACTAGGGCTGTCATACATGTAGCATCATGAAAAGAATGTCCCCTCAGATAAAATGCTTTCCTGTCTTGACTCTGGGTGCATGTGTGGGTGGGTGTCTTACTATGTAGATACCACAATCCAGTAATGCAAAGGAATGGGTAATGTTGGATCCTCCAGGTGTTGAACCACTGTTTCCAACATCCTTCACAATTACCAGGGCAGGCTGGAGCTGCTGGGAGTTTTCTTAGAGCAGTTTGCAGTCTTTCTTAGCAGAGGTGATGAATTGATATTCTTTCAGCTTCAACTTCTGTGATGTTAGAATATTATTACCTGTAAATGAAGATATTTATTTAGCTGTGCATTGAAGACAGACTAAGATGGAACATGAGATTTTGGTCATATTTACAGGATAACTCCCTGATGACATGAGAAACCACCACCCAGGTTGTAAAAATGTTGCAAGAAATATATCTCTGTTTAATACTTCTCAGATTCTCTGTCACCAAGGTTGAAATGCCTTTTATTTATAACAGTTTAATCTTATGCTCTCTCTGTAGCGCACAGTACAGAAGAATGCTAAATATATCTGCTTAGCCAACAAAGATTGCCCTGTGGACAAGCGGCGGAGAAACCGGTGCCAGTTTTGTCGGTTCCAAAAGTGCCTTGCTGTGGGAATGGTCAAAGAAGGTGAGGCATGTTCCTTCCTGTTCACTAGCCTTCTTCACCCTAAGATCCTCTGAAATCTAGGCTGGTGAGGCATTTTAATAGTTGAGCTTTCACATGCCTGTAAGGTTCCAGGTTAAAGAGGGCTACAAGAGGCAGGAATTTGATATTTGGCTCCCAGAGCAAATTAAATATTTGCAGGAGGAATGGCAACTGGTTGAGAGGAAGAGGGAGGAGGAGGAGGAGGAAGAAGAAGAAAAGAAGAAAAGAAGAAGAAGAAGAAGAAGAAGAAGAAGAAGAAGAAGAAGAAGAA